TTGGCGGGTCCAGGCTGGGGATTCGAACCCGCCACCTTAGGTGTACGTGGCTGGCGCCTTAGCCGGTTGAGCTATAGGCGCCGAGCCTACATCGTCTTCTAATTTTCTGTTTCCTTTCCCCTCTAGACCACAAGCTCTGTGGAGGACCATACCTTGTCCATTCTTATATCCTCAGGGTCTAGCATAGTGGGTATACTCAAAAGCTGTTGAATACATAAATTAATTCATCAGCAAAGAAGTAAATACGCTTATTAGTGATGCAATATAAAAGAACAGAACTGCTACACCTATGTAAATTGGTATTGACCTCTTATTCTTTAAGAACGGAACTTTAGGTATTTGTTAGCTCGATTTATTACAATGTGGTGAAGTTGTCTGAAGATCTTGATTAGATGAGATCATAGTGAGTGTTGAACCTGATTATTTGATTATGGATTTTTGAGCTTGACTTTTCTCTTTCAAGATAGATGCTATAGTTGGAATCTCAGTTAATTCTTCCTCTGAAAAGGCTACATAAATCTCTTAATTTTGACACATGCAAGGGCTTCATCTTTAACTTATATTGTTTATCTGTTTATAAAAAAGTGCACTATTGTGATTAGGGGAAAGGCATTTTAGTGGGAAATTTTTTGTTTTTGCAGAGAAAAGACCATTTTCTTTTTATTTCTTTGTTTAATTTTTAATTTCAGATTAATATAAAGGTATATATGATTAGTTTACATTGTTTCTATTTACCACTTCCGCATTAAGCTTCTGCAGGCCTCTGTTTTTGTTTTTGACAACAAGCACAAATAACTGCTGGTAGTCAAGGAGATAGGATCATTACCACAGTCTGAGAGCTGAAAACATCCAGATGTGTCACATTATTAATTAACCTGCTGCATTATTTTTCCATCTCATCTTCAAACACAGTCCCTTGCTGCCCTGGTTGTTAACAACCAGTATAATTTATCCCCCAGAGGCCCTCAGAGTGACATAATTGTATTTTTAAAAACAGAACTACACAACAAGGCTGGAAAGTATCATATATTTCATAACCAGAGCCTACTTATAAGGTTAAACAAACAAGTGTTTTTGCCACAATTTAATAGTGATTTACAATTTAACATGTATCTTATATAACATGGGAAAAATATGAAATGGAAATTGTGGTTTCTGTTTTGTTTTTATACAATGAACCAGTTTCCATGTTATAGTCATTGTTCCCACCTCTTCTCCTTCCAGACTCTCTCGAACACACTCCAGTCATGCTTTTGTCTTTCTTTCTACCCCCAAACTGCTCTTCTCTAAGTCTCTAACAACATCCATGTAACCAAATCCTGTGGCCACTTCAGTCTACATAAAAGACTTTTCTTCCCTTGACCTCTGGCCTCTTTTACTTCCTTGATTATTCCTTTTTTTTTTTTTTTGAGACAGAGCCTCAAACCGTCCCCTGGGTAGAGTGCCGTGGCATAGCGCACAGCAACCTCCAACTCCTGGGTTCAAGCGAGTTTCCTGCTTCCACCTCCCAAGTTGCTGGGATCACAGGCGGTGGCCACAATGTCTGGCCATTTTTTTTTTGGTTGCAGCCATCATTGTTGTTTGGCAGGTCTGGGCTCGATTCGAACCCACCACCTTAGGTCTATGTGGCTGGCGCCCTAGCCACTTGAGCCACAGGCGCCGAGCCTCCTTGATTATTCCTAGTTTGTTGTTTTTTTTTTGAGATGGAGCCTCAAGCTATCCCCCCTGGGTAGAGTGCTGTGGCATCACAGCTCACAGCAACCTCCAACTCCTGGGCTCAAGGGAGTCTCCTGCCTCAGCTTCCCAAGTAGCTGGGACTACAGGTGCCCGCTACAATGCCTGGCTATTTTTTGGTTGCAGCCATCATTGTTGTTTGGCGACAGAGCTGGATTCGAACCCGCCACCTTAGGTGTATGTGGCTGGCATCTTAGCCACTTGAGCCACAGGTGTCGAGCCCCTAATTTGTTTTAATTTAACTTTTTATTTTGAAATAATTTATGACTCATAAAAAGTTGCAAAAAATACCACAAAGGGGTCCCACATACCCTTTACCCAGCTTTCCCATAAAGATAGCTTCTGACATATCCATATTAGCAAAACCAGGAAACTGACGTTAGTACAATACTTTTTTTTTTTTTTTTTGCAGTTTTTGGCCTGGGCTGGGTTTAAACCCGCCACCTCTGGCATGTGGGGCCAGCATTCTACTCCTTTGAGCCACAGGAGCCGCCTGGTACAATACTCTTAATAAAACTACATCTTACTTGGATTTTACCAGTCTTTACATGTATCTATTTTGAGAAGAGAGTGTATAGTATAGATTTATATAATCGCCACCACTGCCACAAATCAGGACACATAACTATTTCATCGCCACAAACAAACTTCTCCCTGAGACCCTAGAGCTGTGAAGTCAATTGCCCTTAGTCACAGAACCGAAGCTTCTGTAACGGGAGGAGACTGAAAATAAGATGGGACCCATCCACGTAAGGATTTCCCTCAAAGGGCACTCTGAAAACTGAACTCTAGAGAAGCCACAGCAAGCTGCCCGAATTTGCCTGGATCCTCTCGTTTTGCGCCTCACAAAGGACCAGACAGATCAAATTGGTATTTATTTTTTCAGTTTATTTATTTATTTATTTATTTTGGCAGGGGCTGGGTTTGAACCCGCCACCTTCGGCATATGGGGCCGGCGCCCTACTCCTTTGAGCCACAGGCACCGCCCAATTGCCCCCAGCCGTGGATGCCTTTGACATTATGACCGCAGAGGATTCCACTGTAGCCATGAGCAGCGACTCAGCCGCTATGTCCTCGGCCAAGGTGCCGGAGGGCATGGCGGACGCACCCAACGAGGAGGCGCTGCTGGCGCTGACGGAGCGCACTGGCTACAGCTTAGTGCAGGAGAATGGGCAGCGCAAGTATGGCGGCCCGCCGCCGGGCTGGGACGGCCCCCACCCGGAGCGCGGATGCGAAGTCTTCGTGGGCAAGATCCCGCGCGACGTGTATGAGGATGAGCTGGTGCCGGTGTTCGAGATGGTGGGCCGAATCTATGAGCTGCGCCTCATGATGGACTTCGACGGCAAGAACCGCGGCTACGCCTTCGTCATGTACTGCCACAAGCAGGATGCCAAGCGCGCCGTGCGCGAGCTCAACGATTACGAGATCCGCCCGGGCCGCCTGCTCGGCGTATGCTGCAGCGTGGACAACTGTCGCCTCTTCCTCGGCGGCATCCCCAAGTTGAAGAAGCGGGAGGAGATCCTGGAGGAGATCACCAAGGTCACTGAGGGCGTGCTGGACGTGATCGTGTATGCCAGCGCGGCCGACAAGAAGAAGAACCGCGGCTTTGCCTTCGTGGAGTACGAAAGCCACCGCGCGGCCGCCATGGCGCGCCGCAAGCTCTTGCCCCGCGGCACCCAGCTGTGGGGCCACCACATTGCCGTGGACTGGGCCGAGCCCGAAATCGATGTGGACGAGGATGTGATGGAGACCGTCAAGGTCCTCTACGTGCGCAACCTCATGATTGAGACCACCGAGGACACCATAAAGACGAGCTTTGGCCAGTTTAACCCGGGCTGCGTGGAGCGTGTCAAGAAGATCCGTGACTACGCCTTCGTGCACTTCACCAGCCGCGAGGACGCTGTGCACGCCATGAACAGCCTCAACGGCACCGAGCTGGAGGGCTCGTGCCTGGAGGTCACGCTGGCCAAGCCCGTGGACAAGGAGCAGTACTTGCGCTACCAGAAGGCAACCAAGGGCTGCGGCGGGGCTGAGGCGGTGGCGCAGCTGCCCAGCTACGTGTACTCCTATGACCCCTACACGCTGACCTACTACAGCTACCCCTGCAACGTGCTCATCGGGCCCAACCAGGACTACTTCGTGAAAGCAGGCAGCGTAAGAGGCCGAGGGCGAGGTGCAGCTGGCAACAGAGCCCCGGGGCCCAGGGGTTCCTACTTCGGGGGATATTCTGCTGGCCGTGGCGTGTATAGCCGATATCATGAAGAAAAAGGAAACCAGCAAGAACAAGGATATGAACTTGTGCCGAATTTGGAAATCTCTGCCGTTAATCCAGTTGCCATGAAACCTGGTACAGTGGTCATCCCTGCCATCGGGGCCCAGTATCCCATGTACCAAGCAGCTCCAGCACCTAAAATGATTGAAGATGGCAAAATTCACACGATGGAGCAGGTTATCAGCCCTGTTGCTGTGCAGCCAGACCAAGCCAGTGCCGCTGCTGCCACTGCAGCCACCGCCGTTATTCCTGCTGTCTCGACGCCGCCACCCTTCCAGGGCCGCCCGATAACCCCAATATACACCGTGGCTCCATTCGTTCAGAGAATTCCCACTACCGGGATCTATGGGGCCAGTTATGTTCCATTTGCCGCTCCGGCCACCGCCACTATCGCCACACTACAGAATAATGCGGCCGCTGCCATGTACGGGGGGTATGCGGACTACATACCTCAGGCCTTCCCAGCTGCTGCCATTCAGGTCCCCATTCCCGACGCGTATCAGACATACTGAGCCTGGTGACGAGAGTGAAGACAAAGCGCAGAAACACCACTGAAGGAACGCTTTACTATTTATGAAGAAAGAACGTGTCGGATTAGCACACAGGTGCACCCAAAAGTGAAGAATGCTGTCAAATGTCATATTGAAATATTTTATACACATGAAGTTTTCACTAGTTTTTTAAGACTATTTTCAATTTAGCCAGGCCTGTGTTCATACATTTCTAAGAGACTTGCAATGGTTCATGCCATGACACCATCTTTTAAAAATTTATATGCTAAAAAAAAAAAAAAAAAAAAAAAAAATTTATATGCTATACTACATTTGTATAGAGTGTTTATTTCTTTAAGGATATATTTTCAGTATG